TCAACAGGACATTGATTGTTGGTGGTTGAATTTTGAATTTTGATTGGTTTACAATTCCAATGTATTGATAGGCTGACTGAACCATCTGAACCAGCAGCCTATACAGTTGATTTGGTGTAAGGTTGCACCAGCTGAACCAACCTTACATCCATACACGACATTTCTGGACACAACGAAGCAATTGTTGCGGTTGAGAATTCATGAAAGTTTTTGTCGAAATTGTGCAAAGCACCGGAACAGGCTATACTTGATGTATAGATGAGCCTTGGTTGGATGGACTTTTCCTGTGACCACTTTGATGAAGTGGAATCCAACTTTAGAGCTTGTGGAAAAGCACGGTTAGAGCGCCGAGCTTTTAGGCGGCGTGTTAGTTTGTTTCAGTTCACTGATGTACTTGTACATGAGATGTGAAGTGTAGTATCTGTTCTTATCTTACTTCGCCGCGTAGCGTGTGGGTCCAAAACAGGGCGCTGCCAAACATTGATGCTCGCAAGAGCTAAATCAGTTGACGAACATCCCCTTTACTGCAGGTACACCTTTACACGCATGTAGACCTTGGCTGGTGAACCGCACGAGGAAGGAGTCCGCATCAACAGTATGGTTTAGCATGGGTGAGACAAAGGAAAACTCATTAGCGCTTTACAGGTGAAGGGAAACGCATGGAATTGAAAATTGCAGGTACACAGGAGTGATCAGCTCCCGCTTCCTAGGACGAGTGCAAAGAGCTTCGTTGGGCAGAGCTTTGCACGTTTTCTTTGCCCCCCCCCAAAAAATTATCTTGCACTAGACGGTGCCCTTTGGTACCTTTGGTACAGGTGTGGACAAACACAAAAAATACAAACAAATTGCGACCCGCAAAAAATAACAAATACAAAAAATACGAGCCGCGCAAATAGAAAAACAAAATTTGCCGAAACGGGCTGCGAAGCCAACATGCGAAGCCACATATTGCAATTTTTTCATTTTGCTGACGCGTCAACAAGGGTGCTTGCTGATTTTGTGGCCCGGTTGCCTTTGCTTCTATTTTGTAACAATGCAAAAAACAGCAAATTCGCAAAAATGCTTCTTGAACACACATAATAAGGACAACATGACTCAAAATTCAATTGGTTTGGTGGGTGCTATTTGCATTGTTGCCCTCATTTGAGTATGTTGTTTGGGAACCAGGGCCAGTTAGGACGTAGAACCATGCAAACAAGTTGTATTTCAGGGTTGATTTTTGGTATTTTTTTGTGTTTCTTAGCCTCTACCTGAAAGCCGGCGATTAAAAAGAGCCAAAGTGGTACGTTTTCTAACAGTGCGTTTGAGTCCTCATCACCGTTATCATTAACGCAGTCGTTATCGCAAGTTTGCTTTCGGTGTTTTCATGATGCACTTGCAAGAGTGCCTACATCTCTTTTGGTTTTGTTGTGCCCTTGTTTTTCCGACCCAGGCATGCGCAGAACACCTTCTTAGATTCCGAAATGGCGCGAGGGAAAAAGAGATGAAGGAAAATATTTAGGACAGGAAGGAAGGGGAAAGAAAGGGGAAGTGAGGGCCAAAAGGGAAGAACATCTGCATGTGTGCCTGTTAGCTTCATACTTTGAAAGAGTGTGTTCGCTGTCAACCCTTTGCAAGCATGGGCATCTGAAGGGTTGCTTGGCCTGAAGATCGGGTTTCTCTCACACTCTCAAAATGTTACACGGAGTTTCAACAGAATGGTGGGTTCATGTTGTTGAGGATGCGCGGTTGACCACACACAAAAACCACGCACCCGGGAGCATGCAGCCTGCTTTGATTGTTGCAAGTGGAGTGGAGGAAAGCGAACAAGGAGCATGAGACTATTAGACCCAACGTTTATGTGTTATGTGTTTTTTTTTTGTGTGTGTGTGTGTGTGTTTTCTCTAAAACGTACTGTAACTGTATATATATTTCACAAGACTCACAAGACGCTGGTTTTGGTGCAATCTGAAGCCCGGCCCCACCACGACAAAATGCAGCGTTTAGGTTTGCGCTCCATGATCTGGACCCGTGTCGCCCCAGCCTTCTCTTCGATCAGCACTTGTGCTGTGCGAGGCACAAGTAGAGCATGAACAAGGAACAAAAATCATGTTTGAAAACCAGTCTGTCTTTGGTATGGTGCTGCCTTTTTTCCTCTTTCATATCCAGCAGAGGAGGGAGGCTATTGTCCAAGAAACTGACATTGTCCAAAGCACTCAGGGAGTGAAAACTCGTGGGGCCTTCCCGAAAACCCGTCACCAAACGCATAGCGAATCCTCCGGGCAAGCCTATCCTAAGTGTGAGGAGGTTGGCGATCGTCGTTGCTTCCACATGGCTGTTGTCCACAAGTGAGCGAATCATTTTTGGTGAAGAAAACACCGCCCTTTTGGATCTATACACCTTTTTGTGAGGCAAGATTCTACAGAATAATCCAAATAATCCAATACTGATTTATCAGCCAAGCCTTTTTAAATCAGTCAAGATTCTACCTGAGGCGTGTGTCCGCAAAGTCGAACTGGGCGTGTGTCCGACAGTCCAAAGGCACGGCGCACACGGCACATGGCACAGCTGCCCGAGCGACCGGTAGAGGACGAGGCAAAAGGATAGCTCTTCCCCAATCGATGCGTTGGCCGATAGGTGTCATGGCCGATAGCTTGCCCCGAGCCTGGCGGATGAGACGGGTCTTGACAGCTATTTGGCCAATGGACGGGCACCAGGACGTGCCATAAGATGTGTTCTGCACGAAACCTTCGCACCAGATGCACAGCTGGGAGCAGAGCCAAAGAGTGCAAAACAAATTATATAGGTATTGTATAACCCCGTGGTGCTATGTAGCCGTGTGACCGTTCTTTCTTTATCAAATCTGAAAAAGGAACTGTACATGTCTAATTATGAGATGCAGGTTGCAATCACCAAACATTTCATCAAAAATGGATGTCCAAATGAATGGCGCTGCTGGCAGGCCGTTTGCAGTGAACCTTGGTGCGACATGAGAACAACATCGTAAAACTGCGCGCAGTTGCCCTGAATTCACCTGGACATCGAGCCTGAACACCTGGACGTCGACCTGCGCCGCGAAGAAGTAACGCGTCGTAGAGGATAACCTTCGAAGGACGCAGTCCACAGTTCGAGTCAAAGAGGCAAAGAGGCAAAGAGATGGGTTACTTCTGAGGCGGGATTCCAAGGTATTTTCGCCCCTTCCTTCCAATGTCGGGGCGTTTTGTAGTTGTTGGTGCTTTCTAGAAATCGATTGATGCAAGAAAGGATGTTCACGCACACCTATCCTAAGCAATCCTAATCGTTCCACTTAAGAGCGTTGGCCTCCAACCTACTTGCGATGGCCTCCAACCTAAGAGCGATGGCCTCCACCCTACTTGAACAAGAACCGGAGTTCAATGAATCGCCTCCGTCCCGTCCGCAACGCAGAATTGTTGCAGTTCCGTGTGCACGGGACCTCTGGAGTTCAGGCGAAAGAATGGGGCAAAGACGAGAAAGTCACGAAAGCAACCGCTGTAGCTAGCTGGAGTCTGTCTTGCTTTAGCAAGGAGGGGTGGGAAGCGACCTGAGTCCTAACCCCTGATATATCAGGGATATACCCCCCCCCTCGCGGGTTTTAGCTCCTCCCTTCCGTTTCTTAGTTCCCAACGTGGCTGCTATTGCTGTTCCTGCTGTTTGCTGATGCTGCTGCTGTTCGTAGCTCTGCTGCTGTTGCTCCTTGTTGCTTGCTGCCTGCAGCTGCAATCATGATGATTCATGGTGCTGAGTCCCTGAGGCAAGAGGTCATCTTCACGGAAAACACTGCGACCTCTCCTCGGAATGGCACACATACATCTTTGTCGACAATATCATATTGTAGAACTCATTTTTGTTTTGCCGGGATCTGTTTCTAAAACCTGAACATCGTTGTTTGTAATTGGTGGACCTTTGCTTATATTTGCTTGAGACGTTTGGTGGATAACGGGAACACATTTAACAGGTATCCCTAAGTCTACAGGACGAAACAATGGCTGAGCGATGCAAGCGTCCGAGTCATTGTTTCACAATGAAGAAACACCGGGATATTTTTGTAAATGTGTTCGTGGGTCGACACATATGAAGACTAGTGTGACAATAACAAATGATAATGGAACCAGGACGGCGTCCCGTAAAGGCTTCAACAAACCAGTAACAAAAAATAGCAAACAGCAAACCCATGCAATTCAACCGGATGGTTTACATTTTGGCATTTGAACTCTTTTCTGCCATCAAATTGTATTTTTCCCGTTGGGACTCTCCGCGCATTGGCAGACTTAGAAGCCCAAGATTCAGATATGAAAACAGATTGAACATGACTTCAAAGAAACCACTGACAAAATAGCAAGCCCCAGAATGGCTTGCGTGTTGAGGTTTTGACCCCTTCATTGCAGTCATTGTGCAGTATTCGCGTTGGGCCCCTCCATTTTGTAGTTTGTGTTTTGTAAAGTCTTGGCGCTGGGAGGCTTTAACGGCCCACAATAGGTATAGCATCTGTGTAGACTAGTGTGACAGAAAAGGATGTGCAAGCAGGAAGAGTTGGACTTGCAAGAAGACCCGGGC